TAGCCACAGGGGAACAAGGCATATGGCCACATGGGAAGAAGGCATCTGGCCACAGAGGAACAAGGCATATGGTCACAGGGGAACAAGGCATCTGGGCACAGTTGTACAAGGCATCTGACCAAAGGGGAATAAGGCATCTGGCCACAGGGGAACAAGGCATCTGGCGACAGGAACAAGGCATCTGGCGACAGGGGAACAAGGCATCTGGCCACAGGGGAACAAGGCATCTGATCACAGGGGAACAAGGCATCTGGCCACAGGGGAACAAGGCATCTGGCCACAGGGGAACAAGGCATCTGGCGACAGGAAAAAGGCATCTGGCCACAGGGGAACAAGGCATCTGGCCACGGGGGAACAAGGCATCTGGCCACGGGGGAACAAGGCATCTGGCCACAGGGGAACAAGGCATCTGGCCACGGGGGAACAAGGCATCTGGTCACAGGGGAACAAGGCATCTGGCCACGGGGGAACAAGGCATCTGGCCACAGGGGAACAAGGCATCTGGCCACGGGGGAACAAGGCATCTGGTCACAGGAAAAAGGCATCTGGCCACAGGGGAACAAGGCATCTGGCCACGGGGGAACAAGGCATCTGGCCACGGGGAACAAGGCATCTGGCCACAGGAAAAAGGCATCTGGCCACAGGGGAACAAGGCATCTGGCCACGGGGGAACAAGGCATCTGGCCACGGGGAACAAGGCATCTGGCCACAGGAAAAAGGCATCTGGCCACAGGGGAACAAGGCATCATGCCACAGGGGAACAAGGCATCTGGCAACAGGGGAACAAGGCATCTGGCCACAGGGGAACAATGCATCTGGCCACAGGGGAACAAGGCACCTGGCCACGGGGAACAAGGCATCTGGCAACAGGAGCAAGGCATCTGGCCACAGGAAAAAGGCATCTGGCCACAGGGGAACACGGCATCTGGCCACAGGGGAACACGGCATCTGGCCACAGGGGAACAAGGCATCTGATCACAGGGGAACAATGCATATAGTCACAGGAAAAAGGCATCTGGCCACAGGGGAACACGGCATCTGGCCACAGGGGAACAAGGCATCTGGCCACAGGGGAACAAGGCATCTGGCAACAGGAGCAAGGCATCTGGCCACAGGAAAAAGGCATCTGGCCACAGGGGAACAAGGCATCTGGCCACAGGAAAAAGGCATCTGGCCACAGGGGAACAAGGCATCTGGCCACAGGGGAACAAGGCATCTTGGCACAGTTGTACAAGGCATCTAGCCACAGGTGAACAAGGCATCTGGCAACAGGGGAACAAGGCATCTGGCCACAGGGGAACAAGGCATCTGGCCACAGGGGAACAAGGCATCTGGCCACAGGGGAACAAGGCATCTGGCCACAGGAAAAAGGCATCTGGCCACAGGGGAACAAGGCATCTGGCCACAGGGGAACAAGGCACCTGGCCACAGGGGAACAAGGCATCTGGCCACAGGGGAACAAGGCATCTGGGCACAGGGGAACAAGGCATCTGGCCACAGGGGAACAAGGCATCTGGCCACAGGAAAAAGGCATCTGGCCACAGGGGAACAAGGCATCTGGCCACAGGAAAAAGGCATCTGGCCACAGGGGAACAAGGCATCTGGCCACAGGGGAACAAGGCATCTGGCCACAGGGGAACAAGGCATCTAGCCACAGGGGAACAAGGCATCTGGCCACAGGAACAAGGCATCTGGCCACAGGAACAAGGCATCTGGCAACAGGGGAACAAGGCATCTGGCCACAGGAACAAGGCATCTGGCAACAGGGGAACAAGGCATCTGGCCACAGGAACAAGGCATCTGGCCACAGGGGAACACGGCATCTGGCCACCGGGGAACAAGGCATCTGGCCACAGGGGAACAAGGCATCTGGCCACAGGAACAAGGCATCTGGCCACAGGGGAACACGGCATCTGGCCACCGGGGAACAAGGCATCTGGCCACAGGGGAACAAGGCATCTGGCCACAGGGGAACAAGGCATCTGGCGACAGGAACAAGACATCTGGCGACAGGGGAACAAGGCATCTGGCCACAGGGGAACAAGGCATCTGGCCACAGGGGAACAAGGCATCTGGCAACAGGGGAACAAGGCATTTAGTCACAGGGGAACAAGGCATCTGGCGACAGGAACAAGGCATCTGGCCACAGGAACAAGGCATCTGGCCACAGGAACAAGGCATCTGGCGAAAGGAACAAGGCACCTGGCCACACGGGAAGAAGGCATCTGGCCACCGGGGAACAAGGCATCTAGCCAGAGGGGAACAAGGCATCTGGCAACAGGAACAAGGCATCTGGCCACAGGGGAAAAAGACATCTGGCCACAGGGGAACAAGGCATCAGGCCACAGGAACAAGGCGTCTGGCCACAGGAACAAGGCATCTGGCCACAGGGGAACACGGCATCTGGCCACCGTGGAACAAGGCATCTGGCCACAGGGGAACAAGGCATCTGGCCACAGGGGAACAAGGCATCTGGCAACAGGGGAACAAGGCATTTAGTCACAGGGGAACAAGGCATCTGGCGACAGGAACAAGGCATCTGGCCACAGGAACAAGGCATCTGGCCACAGGGGAAAAAGACATCTGGCCACAGGGGAACAAGGCATCAGGCCACAGGAACAAGGCATCTGGCCACAGGAACAAGGCATCTGGCCACAGGAACAAGGCATCTGGCCACAGGGGAAAAAGACATCTGGCCACAGGGGATCAAGGCATCAGGCCACAGGGGAACAAGGCATCTGGCCACAGGAACAAGGCGTCTGACCACGGATACACGACGTCATACTAACGGGATCTAGACATCAGGTTGGACAATAAGCCAGGCTTCGCGGCCAGCCTAAGGTCTGCCACTATCAGTGTTTCTTCCAGATTTTATTTCTCTCCGGGGTGGAGGGGTACTTACAATTTTCGGGGAAAGGGGGGGGGGGGCAATAATTTCCTGGGGGGGGGGGGCAATAATTTCCGGGGGGGGGGGGGCGGACACCGTCAAATGTATGTATTTTCTATATAAATTCCATTTCGTTGTAAGAGATACCTGGAAGAAACTCTGGCTACTATCCGAGGCCTATACTGTACCTGTACCATATATATTTTAAATATTTATAATGCAAAACTGCAGCCAAAGTGAGCTTTTAATTTTTTTCCCCAACCCATTTTGGCGCCCCCTAGGGTCGGCGCCCAGGGAATATGTACCCCCACGCTACGCTTCTGGTGCAAGATGTCTCTTAACAATCAGTGCCTGTCAACGGACGCTAGCCCACGTTTCCGAGTTGGGCTCCGTACCGTCACCCGACGTTCGAGATAACGCCCGATCACTATGCACCCACGCGTTTCACACCCGATAATTTTAGACCCCACAAACATCTGCTTTACCTTTTGGTTTTTTAAATTTGCAATCTCTCTTTTCAGCCTCCTCCTCTTTCAGACATGCACTTACGAGTTCTTTTAGATTACGGACCTCCCTTTCCAAACCGTTTACAATCTGGCTTATATCCATCAGTGAGTGTTTCTTTTTAGATCTGCTTGTTGGTTTGACGTTTTTTGACATTGTTTTTGTTGCTATGATGCTGGTGCGTTCATTTTCATTTTCTTCTGGATCTGGATCTAGATCGGTACTGCTCGTACTCGTATGTAATAGTTTTGGTGGCATGAACTTTTCTACGTTGGAGGATGAATCACATCTTCTTCTAGCCATCTCCTGATTCTAACTTTTTTTTTTTTCAATATTTAATGATTGGGTTTTTTCATCGACGAGGTAGATTCTACTTCTTTCTCTCGCCACGATGTTTGTGTATAAACGTAACTTCCGTTCAAATGAAACCTTAGGCTAAAAAAACAATTTAGTGCTACAAATGTTTTTCCCGAAGTCGCTTGTATACATGTAAGATTACTTTGGGAATATTTTGGTCATATTATACACTACAACATTCACTTGCGCTAACTATATCCCTAACTGTAACTATTACCGGGGGGGGGGTGTTACTGGACGGGGGTAATTATGGGGGATGTCCGGGTGGTAATTGACGGGGGGGGGGGGGGGGATAAAGACCCTGTTCCCGGGGTAGGGAGGTGATAATGTTCTATTGGACGGGGGTAATTACTTGGTGGGGGATGTTCGGGGGGGGGGGGGGGGGGAGTTAATGTCCTGTTCCCGGGGTGGGGGGGGGGGGGGGGGAGGCTAAGGTTTACTTTTTTGGGGAGAAGAAGGTCTGGCTTTTTGTAACCATTTTTCTTTTACTGATTAAGTCTTGTGATGTGATAACAAATATTTAGTTATTAAAGTAGTTTGTAATATAAAAACTATTTTTTGGTGATATAAATTTTAACAGTCTTGTCATGTGAAAACAGCTTTTTAATGATTAAAATAGAAGGGTGATCAAATCTTATATGTAATTTGGTATGATTATCCAAACTACTTATTGTAGCCGAACTAGTTATTGTATTTGTTTTAACCTCTATTCATTTAAAAATCTTCTCTTGAATTATGCCAACTGTTGCTAACTTAGCTGCGGATGCTTTAATTGTCAATTTATTTGTATTGTCTGCTTTGTACTTTGTACTTGTAATATGTGTTTTAAATTGTTTATAAACATTTTAATAAAATTTTGTAACTATATGTAACAATAACCCACTTCTAATTTACTTACTATCTTTATGGACAAGTTTAGCCTTTAGTCTAAGGTATGGTTAGGCTGGACTTCGAATCGTTCGCTTTAGCCTGTAGGATGTCTCTGAGCCCAACCAGCTCTTATTAGTACCTTGTTCACATTAGAGAATGAAAAAACAACAATCTTTTCCGATGCTGAGGTCACAGAAACAGGTGAAATTTTATTTACCTGCTCTGTTGAAAGCCATTTAGTTCTTACTTCAGTTTTGTGAATCATGCAAATAAACAAAGTCTGCAAGCCTTTGTTTTATATTATTAGAACATCTAAAAAAAACTTCAAAGAAAATTAAGGCATGCAGTGAAGGCTATTTATCCCAATAAACTGGACTTGTTAGGTGTATTTCTATTTTAAAATTTAGCAGATCCTAATCATTCCAACAATGCACATTTTTAGTTGTTTCCATGACAACAACCATTTTTTACATTAACTACACTTTAAACTGCACCAGTGAACTTTCAAGTACACAAGTTTTAATGAAATGGCATTTAGTTTATTCATATAAACAATAATCAGCTTACACACCATAATATATGTAACAAATTCAAGAACAAATTACATCATTTCTCTAGTTTTATAAAGGAGTCAAAATATACATTAAAATATCAGTGGTGAAATCATCAACAGGGAAAAAAGAAATCTGCTTGTGCACAAGTATAACCAGTTTTTTCTGTAACAGCAGTAGATTTGCAAGTTTGTATGACATATATAAGAAACAAATAAATAAATCATAATAAACAAAATGAAAATTTTCAACTCAATTTTCGGGTTGTTTTCATACGAGTGACTGACCTATGGATACCACTATGACAAAAACTGACTTAAAATAGCACTTAACTCTGAATAGCTAGCACCACAACACTACTATATTATGGGAAGTGGGGAAATGTCCAATATTAGACAGTTTAAAAAAAATGTACCTTGGTTTTTAATTTTAAAAAAAAACTATTGTTTTTTTAGGTAAATATTGTGTCATGACCTCAAACTCAGCCAGGGGCAGAATTTTAATTTTTTTTTTTTTAAAATAAGATTGAAACAAAAATGCAAGCTATGGTTTTACATCAAACAGATTGAACACAATTCAACAATGGAAACAGTAAAGGGCAGCAACTGTTGCAAAGAACTGGTGACTAGGTAAAAAGAAGCAAATAAAAAAAAATTGTAATGTTTCTGGCAGAAAATATTTCTCCTTAAAGAAATATACTCATGTGCAAAACTGTTTAGTGTAGAAATTACCCATAACTGATACCATAAAACATAAAAAGTATAAACAATCTTCTCTCCCTTTCGACTTCACTGAATAAGATGGTAAAATCTAGAAAAGTAGCAAACCATTGCAACAAAAGAAAAAGAATAAGTGAACAGCTGATCCTTAAGGCTAAGAAGTTAGGTAAGTATCAAATAAATAAAACCAAATAGTTAAAGTTAATCTTTTGTAAACACACAATTGTATGTGCTATATCATTTTGTTTAAGTATACATCTAATAATGCAGAGAAAACAATTGTTTTACAAAGCAATTATATACTTCAAAAAAATATATTTTTATATATAAGACTATTTTATAACATTCTTTCATTATAATTACTGCCAGTAAAATTTTTTAAACAGATGAATGTTTGGATTTCAGGCAATAAACTATTTAAAAAAATATAGGCTGGAAAAATGAACACTATAACAAAATAAAATTAAAAAACAATGATTTCACTGTTTGATTGCATATTTCCAATAATGTTTGTTCAATATTAAGAAATTGCAGTAATGTTTTAATTAAAATTTAAAGAACAATCGTTGAATATATATAAAAATAAAATTAAAGTGACATGTTAACCCATCCTTGTAAAGTAAAAAAAAAAAAACAATTCTGAAGTAGTTAAATCTGCAAATAAATTAAAAATCTTTCAGTTTAAATTTGACAAATCAGTATAAGTAAAATAACTTTTCTATGAACTGACCTTAAGCATAATACGTTGACTTGAGAATGATACTGAGTACTTAAAAATCAGTTTAACAAAATTTAGAATATTATTATTTAAAATTGTAGTCCTGTTCATTGACTTGACCCAAAATCTTCTCTAATTAGATACAGCAAACATTAATTTTTTTAAAAAGAAAATTAAGTAGCTGGAAAAATAATTAGTAAAATTAAAATAAGCTGATTTCTAATATTTTTTTTTGCATTATAAGAACATACATTGCAACATAAAAAAACAATAAAAACATATATCTTTAAATACCAAATTTGAAAACAATAATTGTGAAATAAAAATGTAATGGTTGGTTCATATATAATTAAACTGAGCTTCAGGAATATTGGAAATTTAGCATTAAAAAAATAAAGAACAAGTTGGTCCAAATAAAAAAAATAATAAGCCCATTCAATAGGAGTAAAAAAAAAAGGTTAAATTTTATAAAAATGATAGTGCAAAGATCATGGCATAATATTTTATAAGGCATGGATACAAGCATAAAATGAAACCTTCACAGAAACACACAAAAACAGGCTTTTAAATGAATCTATTAAATAAGCTGGATTGCTGATTGTGAGTGAAGTCACATTATAGCTACTATCTACTACTTATCTTTCATTAAACTTTGATGTAAAAGTCCAAATTATTGCACTAAAATACTACCTGTAATAAATCTGTCATAACACTTGGAAATTTTACAACCAAATTCTTTTGTAAATTGTTACATTTTTAATAATGAATTAATAATGGATTATATGTCATGTAAAATATATTACTGCACCATTCTATTGTTTTGAGTTAAAAAAAAAAATTTGATCAATATATTGCTCTGAATACTGTAGTCTGCAGCTATAAGCCACTAATGAATTAGATAAACCATAGGCAAAAAACAAAACCTGAGAAACCCATGAGTAATGGTTTCAACTTTTCTAGTTAAAAAGTTAACATGTTGGAGATTGTTCTCTAAATGTTGATAAGACAGAACTGTGTTTTGAAGGTTTTTCTAACTCAAGCTGCTTCAAATATTATCTGAATAATTTTTTAAATTTATAATAAAGAACATGATGTAAACAAAATTTGTAAGAGTTAGTTCATGACATGATCACAGCTAAAACAAACACCACCCTTCAACACTGACACTATGCTGTCAGAGTTGACCTAACACTGACAATATGCTACTAATATAGACCTAGCACTGACAATATGCTTCTAATATTGACCTAACACTGACAATATGCTTCTAATATTGACCTAACACTGACAATATGCTGCTAATATAGACCTAACACTGACAATATGCTTCTAATATTGACCTAACACTGACAATATACTGCTAATATTGAACTAACACTGACAATATGCTGCTAATATTGACCTAACACTGACAATATTAGCCTAGCACTGAAAAGATTTTAACCTACAATGACCGAGACAAAATTAGTCTTGGTAGGGAAAACACTTAGCTACCAACACTGAACATAAATCTGAACACCTATCATCACGGAGAACATTTCATTGAAAAGTTGTCTATTTTCAAGCCATAACCCGACCCACACAGACTGCTTCACTTTAACCATAACCCATGGCTTGATCTACACAAAGATACTTCCCATGAATCAGATCGCAGGCCTAACGTTAACCCACAGCTTGATTTACCTAACCAGGTCTTACTTGAACCTTAACCTAAGCTATACAGGAATGCACAGGCAGAGCTCCAAACAATTGTATAAAAATAAAAACTAGACATAACAAAAACAAGATATTCCACCACCTCTACACAGAATTACAACCACACACCAAAAGCCAACCTCATCCAGCAACATCTATAACAACAACAACAACTATGAATGGAACTGAGAGAACATTAAACCTGTAGCTGAAATAGCGTCCCCGAGCCCAACCGTTTTAACCGGATGTTTACACACAAGCACAGGACTAAACACAAAATGGTATCCACTAGTTTCCCATGATATAACCGGATTGAGTGGATCAAACTCCCGCTCCACATCTCCTGTATATAATTTAAATTTCAGCGGAATCTGTAGCCGGACAAGTTCCTCGGATAATTTTGGAATGTTACAAGCTTGCAACCCGGCAACCTGAGTCCCTGCAGCCGCCGCGACGTCAACGTTAGACCAGGCGGCGCTGTCGACAGCGACAATGTGGTATGTCAAAGAGTGGAAATGGATCCGGGTGAGTCTAGAGCCAGGGTTAGCGCCGGACCTGCCGTATTTCTGTAGGATGAACAACATGATGTCGGAGATTTTGTAGATATCTGGCTGCTTGTCATGCTCCTCGTCAAAATGGTCATGGTGGGGACCGTCCAGGGCTTTAGAAGAGAAGACGATTTCCTGCTCATTCAAGCCCAGAGAGTCTAAGTTGGGTAAAGCCTGAAAGTACAACAAAAATTACCTAGCTGAAATAATCAGTCTCTTTAAGTTATTAAAGTAGAGCATTTATCAATAATACAGATGTCATGGAGAGACCCCTACAGATGTCATGGACGGACCCCTACAGATCATGCAGGGATTCCTACAGATGTCATGAAGAGACCCCTACAGATGTCATGGACGGACCCCTACAGATGTCATGGACGGACCCCTACAGATGTCATGGACAGACCCCTACAGATGTCATGAAGAGACCCCTACAGATGTCGTGAAGAGACCCCTACAGATGTCGTGAAGAGACCCCTACAGATGTCAGGGAGGGACCCCTACAGCTGTTTGGCTGTACATATATCATGGACCCCTACAGATATCACAGAGGGACCCCCACAGGTGTCATGCAGGGATCCCTACAGTTGTTTAGGCTGTACAGATATATAGACCCCTACAGATATCACAGAGGGACCCCCACAGGTGTCATGCAGGGACCCCTACAGTTGTTTAGGCTGTACAGATATATAGACCCCTACAGATATCACAGAGGGAACCCCACAGGTGTCATGCAGGGACCCCTACAATTGTTTAGGCTGTACAGATATATAGACCCCTACAGATATCACAGAGGGAACCCCACAGGTGTCATGCAGGGACCCCTACAGTTGTTTAGGCTGTACAGATATATAGACCCCTACAGATATCACAGAGGGAACCCCACAGGTGTCATGCAGGGACCCCTACAGTTGTTTAGGCTGTACAGATATATAGACCCCTACAGATATCATGCAGGGACCCCTACAGGTGTCATGTAGAGACCTCTACAGATGTCATGGACGGAACCTTTAGATGTCATGGAGAGACCCCTACAGATGTTTTGGCTGTACAGAGATGACAATATGATAAGTGGGTTTACAAACTCATACGCTGTCCCGTCTAATTTATTGATCATTTAGCCATGCAGACTGTTCCCTTTCACAGACTGTAATTTGAATGAAGTCTATTCATGTTAGCTCATTGAACTTTCATTAATTGACCATTCTCATTCATGAGCATGTACAGTGTAGCTACCTCACCACAAATGACAGACACTGAGTCTGAGCAAACCTGTTACATCCAGTGCTGGTATGGAAATTTTAGGCCTGAACTAGTTGACACCAGCTTTTGTAGACTGGTGTATAATAATCATGTTTTACCAGCTTATGCACCAGACACTACGACTAATTTTAACTGATGAAGTGTTGATACATTCATCACTCTAGTTTCTAATTTTGTGGTTCTTTTTTATGCTAATTAATTAGAAAATTAAAGGTAAATATCAGGTAACGACAAAATGGGTTTTACATCAGTTAATTTCTATCAAGATTAGGGTAAACATGAACAGTTGAGTGGTTTAAACCTTATAACTGTAACAACATGCATCTTGTAGGATTTCTATGATAGAATTTCAAAAATTATTATTTATTACACAGTCAAAGTGTAAAATGATAGATCAGTTTGGCTATACAGTTAGCGGTCAGACATTTCAATTATAAATTTAAGATGTAAGAAAGTGTAAGAATTCTTTGGTAAATTTGTTGATAGAATTTCTGAAAAGATTATTAATCCCCTGTTGAAATGTAAACAAACGCCCAAGGCAACGCAGTCAGTTTATCTACAGATGTTAAAAACTGTAACAATTCTTTGGTCCACTTAGTGATAAAACAGTTTTGGTATGACTGGCTAAGCAAACAGTATAAACAAATACCAGGCCATTTACCTCTATCAACAAGGTAGACATGTTATCATTCCCCATAGGCATGCTCTAACACATGCACTGACAGCAATACAAGACAAACTAAAATATATTTGGCTTAAAAAAGTACAAACTGGCATGTATTATCTTTTTCAGCTTGAAATGGTTTTATCACAATGCTAAATTAAACTACTGTGTTTGATTACACCAAAATTAAAAGTGGAGAAATTGATATGATAAAATTAAAAGCTAAAAAAAATAAATCTATTATTAACTAATGACATTTCAGACACAAAGGCCAATGTCAGCATCTCCAATATAGGACAAAGTTTAACATATGTAACAATAATGACATGACAATCGAATGAGAGAAGAGTCTATGTAACACACAGCTGTGACAGACAAATGCCACTAATTAAGTGTTCTTTATGCACAAATTACTATGTAGTCCTATAGTTATAATTCACCACAGAAATCATGGTTTTGCCTAGGATTTTATTTTTACCTTATTTTACAAAAATGGAAAAAATCTGCAGGCTTTCTACTTTACAGTATGTTAAAATAACATTCAGCTATACCAAAAGTTCAATATTTTTCCTATTGAAATCGCATCAAAATATTGTCAAGTTTTACAGCTTAAATTATAATTCAAGAATGAAACTGACTCAAAGTTTGAATTTTGTTTTGTTATAAAATTATTACTCATATCTGTCACAAACAATGAATGATCACACTTGATACACAATCATGTAAAATGTATATAGATGAACATTGTAGGTCACCATTGATAGTTAGATATAAAGTGAAAAGAAAGTTGAATTCAACCAGTTTGTATATCTTAGAAGAAAAGACTAACCTGGTCAATGATCAGCCTAACAAAATCCCTGTTGGCCATACTGGCAAGTTCTAAGTGTATGGGAACTGTAGATGGGACTTCCTTTAACAAGTGAACAAGCTTGTTCAAACGTTCTTGAAAAAATTTAGGTGACTGACCATCCATAATGTTTAATCCTATAAAACATCAGAAAAATATGTATAAACATGAGGGTAAAAATAAGTACCAAATACATCAATAATTCTTCAATACAATAAATTGGGGTATATAAGATCAAGCAGGAGAGTGCCAAACTCCCAAAACTAAATGTCAAAGTACATTGAAAATAGCTTGGGACAGCTACCCATCCAGGCAAAAAAAAGGCTCTTAATAATTAAAAAAAACTGTTGCCTTGCAGATTATGTTTGTTTGAACTAAGGTTGTGAAAACAAATCCAAGAAGAAAAAACACAGACTGAATTCAGAGTCAACAGGCCATATAGCACATAACATGCTGACACATAAAACTTCAATATTACAATAAAGAAAGAAGAACAAATATTTTGTTATGTGACAAAATAAAAAACAAGTGATATAAGCATCTAAATTATATTTAATTATAAAGTTAAAAAGGAATTATCCTTTCAGACCTGGCAATATTAAGGGTAGTTGAAACAGTGCTCATTTTTTTTTATTGGCCTGGGCATGGAACAACAGTACTAAATCTAACAATTTCACGACTAGATCCTTACTACTGGACCACACCTTACCATGCACATTTAAAAACAATAAAAGATGACCATTGTACAGATAGTATTTACCTGAAAGAAGTATGAGATCTGGTTGGAAAGCCTTGATGCTCTCAAAGTAAGGCTCCAGCATGACAATTTTAGCATTGGACTCGTCGTGGCTTGTGATGAAACGATTGGCCACAGGAGAGGTCAGATTCCCCCAGCGCTCGCCAACTTTGTACTCCATGATGAGGTGAACCTCATCTCTCGGGATGCGACACGAGTCTGGTATTTTGACAGATTTTGGCATCAGACTTTCTAGCAGGGGCCCAACAGGTCCAACAAAGTTGATCTAAAAATTAATAAGTCCTGCCACTTTAAATAATCAAAATTGATCTAAAAGTTAATAAGACCTGCCACTTTAAATAATCAGAATTGATCTAAAAGTTAATAAGACCTGCCACTTTAAATAATCAGAATTGATCTAAAAGTTAATAAGACCTGCCACTTTAAATAATCAGAATTGATCTAAAAGTTAATAAGTCCTGCCACTTTAAATAATCAGAATTGATCTAAAAGTTAATAAGACCTGCCACTTTAAATAATCAGAATTGATCTAAAAGTTAATAAGACCTGCCACTTTAAATAATCAGAATTGATCTAAAAGTTAATAAGACCTGCCACTTTAAATAATCAGAATTGATCTAAAAGTTAATAAGACCTGCCACTTTAAATAATCAGAATTGATCTAAAAGTTAATAAGACCTGCCACTTTAAATAATCAGAATTGATCTAAAAGTTAATAAGACCTGCCATTTTAAATAATCAGAATTGATCTAAAAGTTAATAAGACCTGCCACTTTAAATAATCAGAATTGATCTAAAAGTTAATAAGACCTGCCACTTTAAATAATCAGAATTGATCTAAAAGTTAATAAGACCTGCCACTTTAAATAATCAAAATTGATCTAAAAACTAATAAGACCTGCCACTTTAAATAATCAAAATTGATCTAAAAACTAATAAGACCTGCCACTTTAAATAATCAGAATTGATCTAAAATCAATAAGTCACCTGCCAACATAAATAATCAAAATTGATCTAAAATCAGTAAGACAGTCACCTTCCACTTTAAACAAACTAATTCAACCAGCTAACATTTCATTACAAGTCATATATTAAAAAAGTAAAGTTCCTGACAGTCCATGGGGCGAGTGAAGTAGAATTCACCTATGTCATATATTACTCTATATGAATGAGCAAATTTCCACAACATTAGCAACTAATCCATAATAGTTTAACTCTCATACTTAAATTATCATTTTATTATGTAAATGATTTTAAAATTCTCCTAACAATGATAAAAAGTGTAAAAAAAAAAGATAAAATATTCAGACTATAAAATAAAATATAAATTACTTACTTGTAATTTTGGGAACAAACTTGAAGCTTTTTTAGCCATGAGGGCTGCATTTCCTCCTATAAAATGCTTTGAAAAGCAAAAGCAAAGGTAAATAACAAAATACATATAAAATCAAAAAAGTAAATATTATTTTTGTCAAAATACACCTGAGACTCAAATAAAGGGCACACCAACCCTTGACAGATACAGACTATGCACTGGTGGATGTCAATACTGTACACATTTCTTTATCAATAAAAGAAATATAATGGTAACCACACTCTTCACGCTCTGATTGCTGTTAAGAAATATTTATTACCTGAGGTATCTACATTTATTATTCTGGTTGCTATACTTAGCAACTGAACGTTGGGGATATAAAAACTTTCTATTCAACTGGTAAATCCAATATAACATGAGATTATGTTATGATCTACCAAGCTGATTTATTTATCTCTTGTAAAACATTATGGAAAAGAAACAAATTTTAATTGCCAAATTTTAAACTACAATAAATTATAATGCATCTCTAGACTGAACTCATATTTATGTATATATTATGTACATTGTATATTTGGTAACATAATATTGTATATCTGACATACATCACAAAATATTGTATTAAAAGACTATATTTTACCTCTACATCACTGATAGTCTCAGCTGTCTGGATGATTTTCTGGTATATGATGGGATTCGTAAAAGAGCGCTCAGCTGCACTGCCCCTGGCAAAGTAGAATGAAAAGGTCTCCTGCAACTCATCAACACTGCTGAGCACGTGATTGTTTTTCTTGTCTCCAGGTTTCATGTCTAAGGCTTTCAATAGCGAAACACCAGATACAATGACATCGACATTGGAGTTAACACTGAAAGTAAAATCATTAGGATATAATAATAAAAAAAAAACAACAAAAGAGTTCATGAACTTAAATGCTGATGGTATGAGTTTTCCAGTTTTTAAGGAGGAACAAGATCAATGTTACAACATGTCTAAAGGAAGTAATTAGATTAGGCAATACACATTTTTTTTTCATTTTAGCTATTAGATAATAACATCAATACTAAAGGTTGGGGGGGGGGGGGGAGGAGAAGGATGAAAAATAAAAAGAAGAAATAAAAGTGAATATGAAAATTTAGTTATCTTACAGTAACAGTAGAAGATAAAGACCTACATATTGCATAACAAAAAAAAATGTGTTGATCATATTTTTTCTATTTGTAAATCTGGATTACCCACAATCTCAGTGATGTTGGAAACATTTTGTGAATAACCATTTTAACTAATAGTGTGTGATCACTGGTGTGATCAAGACAAAGAGATACCACAACCCATTCAAACACAGTCTAAGTCATTCAACTAATTTTATTATGAACCGCAAAGTAAACTAAATAGCACAATGCTGACAAAAGCCATGACAATTGACAAGAATATGATGGATAGCTGTAGTAGTAGGTTAATGAACTGTAAAACAGAGATGTATTTTTAGAAATGTCAGTTATAAAAATTGCAAGTCATTGGATAAATATTACCCCACTTGCAAATTTAGGCTTTATACCTGCATAAATCTCATTTAAACCTAATTTTGAAAAAAAAAATTCATTAACTGGATGTTAACTGACACTAGGCAAGCCTAAAAATTAATTTTCAAAAAACCAAGGATGCTAACAGGATATTTAAAAAACAATTTTCTAATACATATAAAGTCAGAAATTAAGCACAAAATATGAACATCTTGCAAGCCAAAAAATATTGTAATGAAAACAAAGTTTTTTTTTTAAGTCCATTACATTACGATAAAAAAACGATTATCCATTTATTGTACAGACTCGCAATAGAATATTGGCTATAAAGTACACTTAGACATACTTGCTGCATTTTCACTTATCCCAGGGAGGACTCCAAACAACAATAGAACTAAAAAGCAAGTATAACCATAGTTTGGTTCATTAGTATTAAAATATAAAGTCAACAATAGCATGTTGATGTTATGCCTACATCAGCAAGTGCAAGTCATGACACATTAGCCAGTCTATTAAAATTATAACTCAGTCAGGCCTAACCATTTGATTGTAAATTTTATAATTAAATAAAGCTGTAGGCTTAGTAATCCTACATTATATATAACTACTAGATACATTACTGCATGGCCTAGCTGTAGAACACGAGACTGCTAACCCAAAAGTCTAGAGTTCAAATCCGGGTTCTAGTCAATGGAACATCCTTGACTCCAAGCTCTGATGGGTATCTAACTCACATTAGGGAAAGTAGAGGCGGCTGGGCATAGTGTTGATCACACTATTAGTATTATGATATTATCCCTTCATCTGCTCAGGTCAAGAAGCACGAACTCTATTTTTTTTATCTGCCCACCAATGGGTCGCTACGCTAGGTCTAAAGAAAAATCTTTACTAGATACATTAAATCTAGTTCTAGATCTATGTAGAATTATATGTAGCAATAGGCCTATATTATTTACCCGACAGCAAGTTTCTGAAATTGCTTTAGAGGTGGCTTGATAGAGTTGGACCAGGAATTAATTATTCCCTGCACTGGAGAAATTTGGACTGGGCTTTCGAAGTAAAATTGATAAACATCTTTGTATCTATACACTACGACTGCTGTTATTGCAAAAAATATGCCTAAAAATATTGTTTTGTTAGCCGAGACAGCCATGGTTAATAAAGCTTTAAATGGCTTCAAGTGTTACTAAACTTCCTTCGAAGACCAGTGATAAAATAAATTTGCAACTATGGACTCAACTAGGCTGTTATTGATTCGTGGAAATAAGTGCTACGTAATGCCAAGCAGTCAAAAAGACAGCCAGATACATTTTGACGCGTAAGCTTAAAATAAGAATTAAAATAGTTTTTAAAGTTCTGTAAATTTAAATTGAAAATCAAAATAGTCTAATAATATAGATCTTGATATTTAGGTATAAATATTGCTTTAAAAATTTCATTCTGGGTTGCATTTTTTAGCTTTCGAAATCCTCTCTTTATGGATTTATTGATGTTTTATTTATTTAGCTATAAAAGCAATTTTAATCTGCAATTAAAGTACAATGTATTACTTATATTTTTCTTCTCTTTTCAATGAAAGAAAATTGTTTCAGTTGACGAATAAATCTAGAATGTTAGACTCTAACCCTTTATTTACGGAATTATGTTCTGAATGAGATTTTTACTTAAACAATGTGTTACTATATTGCTTTTGGCACATTCAAAGCATATATTGAAGGAAATTTCGTTTCATAAATTTTTAATGGCCCAAACAGATATTGGTACTTATAAGTACCGTCAGTAAACTAGGACATTTTTTTTCAAAAATTTTTTTTTTTACAAAACAGGAACAAACGATACAATTTATTAACTAATAACATGGCAATCATTATAACAATCACTTTGTGTAATTTTCACACATAAATACAGCACAAAAGTATATTTTGAGTACGATTTTTACTGGATTTTCTATCGGAACACATCTTAGACCTCAAACACAGCAAAAGTAGTCGACATCTCATGCTCTCTCAATCTTGTCTGTGGTCTTTCTGGTGTAGCAACGGTTGCCGGAATGAACATGCTTTTGCTGGAAGCTTCCAATAACTAGTACAATGAGCCGCATTAACAAACAATAGCCTAGTTATTCAGCACGCAACTACAAGTAATACTAGTATAATTGTAGCCTACTAGAATGTTATGACAAATCTACACTACAGTGCAAAGTTCATAAATAGAAGTGAGCTCAATGTGTTTAGGATAGCCGTAGTGGCCTACTCCTTTCTGTTTACTGATTAAAATTTACCATATAGATCAATACTATATGCAGAAGTATGGACTATTACTAGCCTACATGTATACATTACGTAAATGCTAGTTGTTGTAGGTAAGACAGTTTAGTTCAGTAAATATAACTAACTAATTAAATCTTACAACTAGAACTAGGCTTTGGTATACAAATGAAGTAAACTAAACCTTGTAAACGAGCCTGCAACTGATACCTTTATTCTTGTTAATTTTTTACTACTAGAAATTAACATGTCATTACAATCTTTCTTAGGTAAACCATATGCTAAACTTCTTATAAATGTGTAAATATCATTTTTTGAGTACATTTCGATAATTAATTATCAAGACAATATTTATGTAACTCCACATTAAAAATCTGCCATTTTCTAAAAATCTTAAAAAAATGACCGTGTGCCCTGACGGTACTTATAAGTCCACTTATAAACATCGATCTAATACAAAGACAATTTGATTAAAATTGTATAACTAGAAGTTAAATGCTTTTGCCTGACTATTGAAGTTGCCAATAAAAAATATTTGGGGTCGAAAACTTGAAAAATAAGGTAAAACAAAGGCAAATCAAGAACGTATGTGAGAAATGTACAGAAAAATTGTGAACTACCGATATAGCAAGACATTGAAAATGGCGTCACACCAGTAATTTTCAAAAAACATTGATACCTCCGACTACCGGCGACTCAGGGGAGATAATACTATTAATTACTTCAATAATTTTTAAAATTCGTATTAAATTAAAAATAATACAGGCATTTAATTAAAGTGGTACTTATAAGTACCGTCAGTAGATAAAGGGCTAAAACATATTATTGGTTTTTCTATTTCTTTAGTTTCGTTACAAACTGACATAAGTTTTTTTTTAAATCGATCTATAGGTCTATATTGCCCTATATTGTTTTATTTCTAAATTATAAATAACTCTAAATTTCTAAATCACTCGTGTCAGAGTTTCTTTTAGGCATATCCTGCATCATGAGCCACGTCTTCTGTGCAAATAACAAGCTACCACTACTAGATCTACCATTTTTTTAGTATGAGTTCTGTTGGGTATCCCAAATACAATATTCCACCATTAACTGACCTTATCAATCTTCTTTTCTACTTTATCCTTTTGTGGGATGCAGCCTCACTTCTCCATGTCAGCACAGCAGCCCTAGCCTCTTCTACTTTTCTTCTTTATACTTTCCTTCAGAGGAACCCCCGAAAAAAAATTACCGCCCCCCCCCCCCCCCCCGAAAGAAATGAAATTTATATAATTTATATAGAAAATATATACTTTTAAACAGTTTCCGCCCCCCCCCCCCCCCCCGAAGAAAGTCTACCGCCCCCCGAAAATTTCAAGTGCCCCCCCCCCCCCCCCCCCGAAAGAAATGAAATTTATATAATTTATATAGAAAATATATACTTTTAACAGTGTCCGCCCCCCCCCCCCCCCGAAAATTTCAAGTGCCCCCCCCCCCCCCGGAGAAAAAAAGTCTGGGAGAAACACTGCTTTCCTTGGCCGCCCTACTTCCCTCTGGGATTCCAGTCTACCGCTTTCTTCGCGATATCACCATATCAGGGTATGCCCACTCCATCCCCATTTGCGGGCTTTAATGTATATTGGCTGTAGTTTTGCATTTTGCCACAGGACGATGTCCATGCTACTGTCTTAGTTCTGTTGTGTTCAGCCTTCTTTGTCGCAAGACAGGGGAAGTAATCCATTAATATGTATACACAAGAGATTCAACCGTGGCACAACATAATTTAAATCCGCACACCGACATTCTTTTCTTTTAAATAATAGCTGGAGAAAAAAGCCCCCCCCCCCCCCCCACAGCAGATATTTACCAGACGAATCATCTCCTTCAGCCTCATACACCTAGTGTTTATTTCAGACTTTCTTCTACGAGGGGGAGGAGCACTTGATATTTTCGAGGGGGGGGGGGGGGGCGGATTCAATTTTCCAGGGAGTGGGGGAAGGCAACACTGATAAAAGTTGGGGGGGGGGGTAAACTTTCTTCGGGAGGGGGTGGGGGGTGCTTTGCGTACACCTTCATTCAAAGATAGAAGAACACACGTGGAGATGACCACACAATTTTTTTATTTCAATTAAACGTCCGTCTTGTTATTTTAAAAAAAAATAATCTTTTTATTCTAATGAATGTTTAAACTGCTACACTTCACTACCAAACTGTTTGCTATGTTTCTGTGCTACAAGCAATACGAGTTCAAAGTTTTATTCTTCAAATTTATTTCACACACGCATTTTAACACCCCTGGCATTGCATTTTTAACGAGGTTCAAATCTTTTTCCCGTTTGTCCAAAGATCAATTGTAAAACAATTTTCAACTAATTTTTTAAGAAAATGATAGTACGTAAACACATGCAAAAGCATTAGCCTCACATAACGTTGTAAAACACATATTGAAAACACTTGTTGAATCTAATACTTGAAATCAACACAGCATACCCAATTCAAACTGGCATCGTCACCCATTCTTCAAATAAAACCAAAACATACAGAACATTACCCCCCCCCCCCCTTGCTTCATATTAAAAAAAAATAATACATGACACCTCCACCCCCTATCCCCATAATCCAATTGATAAAACAAAGCACACTGAACAGGAATATCTTCACAAAAAGCCAAAGTATTATTATCCTGGTGCCCCCCCCCCCCTTCGACAAACCCAAAGCACACCAAATCCCAGGCTCCATCTTTGATATAAACCTAATTCCATTGAGACAGATAACCGTCATACTTCACATACAATCAAAACATAATACAACTCACACACAAATGCCCTATATGATTACACATGCTACCCACAACAACGTCATACACACCACCCCACATCACCCATTTCAAAATTATCTGGCACTTTCTAACACGTTATGGTGAGGTCAAGGCCTGATCTAGGTCAAGGTCGCGCCCTAGTAAGGTCGGCAGGTCCTCGGTGGATTCTTCCTAATAAGGATCGCCTCTTCGTCTGGTCCGTCGTCCAAGTTTAGGAGAGCCGCTTGTTTCAGCATAGCCGCTTTGGCGCGTTGTCGCTCTGTACGTGAAAAAAAAATCCGTTACGAGAACGCACATATTATTAAATATCACATGTACCTAGGAGTAGGGTGGGGATGAAGGGAGGTGGGGGGGGGGGGGGAGGAGGCAGTTAAGACTTGTTGCAAATGCAATGTGTCATGAGACGGTAAAAAGAGTTGACTAAATGTTGTACATACTATTATGACAAAATGTTGTGTTGTATACTTTGTGAACGATCCATGGTCATAATGTCTTACATCGACCAGATACAATTTCCTTATTTTTCACTAGGGGTCATCCACACGGGGGAGGGAGGGGTCCGAAAAACAATCGTTTTTAGCGGACTTGGCATTACACATTCTGAGCTTGGTATTCAATACTCTGAAAGTGGCATTACACACTCTGAATTTGATATACTCTGAACGTGGTATTACACCCACTAAGATTGGCATTACACACCATGAACTTGGCATAACATACTCTGAACTTGGTATTACACACTCTGAATCTAATTCTGAGTTCAATTTAGTTTTTAAAGGATTAGCTACGCCTTGCCTTATTTGAATTTTAAAATTATTTATTATGTCATTAACAAAGTTACAAGTTTTTGATATTGTAGGGCTAGCAACTGACAGTTTGTTGGACCGTGGCTATTTTCTATGTGCGAAATTTTAAGTGTGGTCTATAGATAGCGTTGCTATTAACCAGTGGCGTAGGCAGGGGGGTGGGTTAGGGGGTGTCATAACCCCCCCCCCATAGACCCCTCGGTATAAATTATAAAAAGTGTGAGGGGGGTGCAAATCGAAAGTTTGAGAGGGGGGTGCATATCGAAAGTTTGTCCCCCGGGTAAAAATTGGAACCCCCCCCCCCCCTTGAGACGATCCTGGCTACGCCACTGCTATTAACTTATGACACTTATTCCTTGTAAGGTGTTTAATGTTGGGCATTATTTCCTTCTTATTGAATAAGTATCAGAAATTGAACATCTGACCGTTTACTTTGTGTATATGTATTAGTTTTCTATAAATATATTCTTTTAATTTATCCAAAATCCTTTTAATACTTGTTACAATTTAAAAACCTCGAAATGAATCTGAGTTGTTTTGATCAAACATAAAAGTTATTAAAATAAACACGCTTTCAATTATTTTTTTAACATATTCCATTGTAATTCCAGACACAAAAATGAATAAAACATAACCATTGAATTATTTGTACCGGCGTTTGTTGATGTTCCAGAGTATACACTTTTTATGACAATAGCTCGAGTAATAGTAGGAGTAGATTATGCAAATACTAATGGTCAGCGTGGACTTCCACAAAGGGGGGGGGGGGGTCCGTCAAAAGTGGACGAGTTTGACCGGGAGTGGGGGGGGGGGGGTTACAAAATCCAACAAATTTTGTGGGTCGTCATAAATGGATGACCATCTGTATATAAAAAAGTCTTCTCATGCTTATATAGCCGTAGGGTCGTAGCACTTCCATGATTCAACCCAGCTTTAATGGGTACCTGACTTACGTCAAGAAAAGTATAGGCAGCTGGGCATAGCGCTGGGAACACTATCCCTTCGTATGCCCAGGTCAAGAAACAAATAAACTCTACTTCATCCGGACAATGTATCGCAAGGTCTGAAAAGTAACTTTAGTTTTAAGTAACACCAGCAGACTCGCACCTTTCTCCCATTTTTTCAGGAACTGCTTGATCCAGCCGACGAGGACCCGGATGATGATCAAGTCGACCCACAGGTAGATCAGCGTCAGCACACAGAACCCGATTACACTTCACCAGGTCGGGATTCTGATTGGCTGGCCGGCCTCTCGTTCTCGATCCCGATAAAACTGCAAGGTCTTGTCAACCTGCAATAGACAGTGTAGGTTTGTGTCCTTTGTCATATAAAGTCCGATTTGTGTCTTTGTCATAGACAGTCCTAGGTTATTGTCTTTGTCAGGACAGTCTAGGTTGTTGTCTTTGTCAAGGACAGTCTAGGTTGTTGTTTTTGCCATGGACAATCAAATCCACAAAAAATCCCACCCAGCCCATGACTTACCTAGCAACCAGCCAATGACTTAGCCAAGCCAATGACTTAGCCAGCCATTGACTTAGCTAACAACCAGCCAATGACTTAGCTAACAACCAGCCAATGACTTAGCTAACAGCCAGCAAATGACTTAGCTAACAGCCAGCCAATGACTTAGCCAGCCAATGACTTAGCTAACAACCAGCTAATGACTTAGCTAACAACCAGCTAATGACTTAGCTAACAGCCAGCCAATGACTTAGCCAGCCAATGACTTAGCTAACAGCCAGCCAATGACTTAGCCAGCCAATGACTTAGCTAACAGCCAGCCATGACTTAGCTAACAGCCAGCCAATGACTTAGCTAACAACCAGCCAATGACTTAGCTAACAACCAGCCTATGACTTAGCTAACAGCCAGCCAATGACTTAGCTAACAGCCAGCCTATGACTTAGCTAACAGCCAGCCAATGACTTAGCCAGCCAATGACTTAGCTAACAGCCAGCTAATGACTTAGCCAGCCAATGACTTAGCTAACAGCCAGCCAATGACTTAGCTAACAGCCAGCTAATGACTTAGCCAGCCAATGACTTAGCTAACAGCCAGCCAATGACTTAGCTAACAGCCAGCTAATGACTTAGCCAGCCAATGACTTAGCTAACAGCCAGCTAATGACTTAGCCAGCCAATGACTTAGCTAACAGCCAGCCAATGACTTAGCCAGCCAATGACTTAGCTAACAACCAGCTAATGACTTAGCTAACAGCCAGCCAATGACTTAGCCAGCCAATGACTTAGCTAACAACCAGCCAATGACTTAGCTAACAGCCAGCCAATGACTTAGCCAGCCAATGACTTAGCTAACAACCAGCCAATGACTTAGCTAACAGCCAGCCAATGACTTAGCCAGCCAATGACTTAGCTAACAGCCAGCCAATGACTTATCTAACAACCAGCCAATGACTTAACTAGCAGCCAGCCATGACTTAGCTAACAACCAGCCAACGACTTAGCCAGCAAACGACTTACTTACCTGGAAGCCAGCGACCCAGATCATGAAGTATCCCATGACCACCATAGAGAAGAAGATGGAGGGCTGGTCGGAGACCTGATTGACACCACGAATTACGTCCTTCATCCTTTTGTCTACGTCTTAGCAAATGTTTCGGTAGTCAAATCAGCCTGCACAGTACAATTACAACGGTTTGGTTATTTTAAACGGCTGACAGAACTCTTAAATGGGAGAGGAACAACCGTTGAGGGGGGGGGGGGCTTGAGGTGACGTCCGCGGTGGAACTTTGAAGTTATAGTGTAAAATATTTTGGTACGGCGTGGTTGAGTGGTAAAGCGATCGACTGCTCGCCTAACGGCTCAAGTTTGAATCCCGCGATCAAGTCCCCCACCGTCTTAATGTGTACCGACTTACGTTAGGTAAAGGCGGCTTGGTGTTATTTAACCACAATACACCTTCTTCATATTCCGAAGTCACAGAATCAGAATTTAAAAACTCTACTTAAAATGTCGGACAACTCAATGTTATATAATAATTATTAATATTATTTTGGCTAGCAACGTTACTTTTCTTTGGCCAAAAATTAACAACAAAAAAAAACAACAACAAAGAAGTCGTCATTAGTAAAGACCAACTCATTTTAAATTGCTTGTCTATAGACTTACGGTATTAGTGCATACGGTTTAATCAAACATATGCTGTACGTTTTGATCATATGTTGATTACGTCACTTCCGAGCACACACAAAACCTGAATGTAGCTACACAAAAAGAAGCGAAATAATAATAAATACATAAAAACCTTTGTGCAGAGGCGTAGCAACCCTTCCCGGCGCCCGGGGACAAACTTTTCGATGATTTGCACCCCCCCTCCCTCAAACTTTCGATTTGCACCCCCCTCAAGATTTCGATTTGCACTCCCCCCCCCTCCTCAAACTTTCAATTTGCACCCCCCTCAACTTTTTAATTTATTTTTCCAACCTAATTTGGCGCCCCCTAAGGTCGGCACCAGGTGATATATGTCTAGGGTTGCCAGGTGTCCAGTTTTGAACTGGACAGTCCAGTATTTGAGCAGACTGTCCAGGATAAAATAAATATAAATACTGGACAAGTATATGAATAATACTCTGTTACCCCCCTTCTTCTGCTTTGCGGCATACCTGAGAAGGGAAGGATGGAAAGGCGTCCAGTATTTTCGGAAAAGGTATCTGGCAACCCTACATATGTCCCCCCCCCCCGCCGTCCCCCCCCCCCCCCCCCCTTCCCCCCTCGCTACGCTACTGCCTTTGTGATAAAATATCCGGATGGCAGACACTGGTAAAAGTATATATTTTCTATATAAATTCTACTTCGCTCTTGTCAGACTAACTGGAGCTTTATGTCTCCACCTGCAAAATTACAGCCGTTTCACCAGTGTTTCTTCCAGACTTTTTTCTCCGGGGGGGGGGGGGGGCACTTGAAGTTTTCGGGGGAGGGGGCGGTAGACTTTCTTCGGGGGGGGGGGGGGGAGCGGACACTGTTAAAAGTATATATTTTCTATATAAATTATATAAATTTCATTTCGTTCAGGGGGGAAGGGGGGTCGGTAAAATTTTTCGGGGGGGGGGGGGGGGGGGGGGGGGGGGGGGGGCTATATATATTGCCTATACAAACACATATATCATATATTCTGGGTCTGAAATATTTCTGCGTAGAAGGCGATCCCATATTTGTGACCGATGGCCTAATAAATTCATGCCCTCGGTGTCCTTTCACTAATTAAAACCCATGTCCTCCTTGCCCTATCGCTCATTAAACACCATGACATTTACTATTAACATCTCAAAACATGATTTAACCCCCTCCTTCCGCCATCCCTTCCTCCAACCCTTTTCTTTTTGCTTGACTTTTTTTTACGCAAGGGATATAATTCAAATAGGAATAACTAGATTGTAATTTTTTTAGTAACGTCCCTTGCACCGAAAAAAAATTGCATTCGATATTTTTTTCTGAGGCTAGTGAATAATGATTTTAATTTTTTATTTTGGTGTCCCATATTTCGGGGCGGATTGTAACAACTATATTTTAGCATCTAGATTACAGTTTTTAAGTAACGGAGAGTACCAAGTCAAATTGTCTACATTGTGTAAAGTTGTAATATTATAACATGTTTACACTAAACATGTTATAATATTATAACTTCTCGATGAAATCTTGTCCAAAATGCCCAACCATTTTTTTCATGTCTCCATAACCTTAATCCATACATAGCCACTTTTGACTATCGAATCCCCCCCCCCCCCCCCCCATCCGACAAAACGAGCAAGTAAATGGTCAAAGTAAAATAAACAATTCAGTGAAGAGTTTCTAAAGACATCGGTAGTCTCCCCGTGCAAATGTTGGATTACGCAAGGGAAGTAATTAGCGAATTCTTAATTCATTAATCACATTGAAAGTTATCTAATAGAGATGTGTAATATACATTTTTACTAAGGAAAAGATATACTTACTAAAACATATTCTGATAGAATTACTGTTTTTGATCAAGTTAATACTTAAAACATGATAATTTACCATCTGATAATCCGCCTGGGGTTAGCTTAATCTTCTGGCTGTTTCTAACTATGATTTGTTATGATTATTCTTTCGGTGTACTGTAACTTTCTTTTGGAGTTCATCATTGTGTTGCCTCCAACTGTTTCATTTGTAGCTCAGAAAAAAATGATAAATGCGGTGATTATTTTCGGATCGCTATGAGTGATAAACTAAATGTGAATTACTGTGACGCTGGTAGCTGCATTAAACGTCGAGGTGTAAAAGATATTGACTCAGTGAGACGAGTTGAAATAAACAGAGGTTGTGTTGCATACACACAAGAAGGCTACCGCAAGGAAACGTACAACGGCATTGACACAATCAGTTGTACATGCAATAGTGAATTCTGCAACAGCTCCACAAGGGCACACTCCCAGATGTTTTTGCTGTTCTTCAGTTTCATATATTTCATTTTGTTACGTGGATCATACATTTTTTAAACCTATGTTTTGGTTATTGTTAACTAATTCTATTTATTATTTAGAAAATTTGTAAATAAGAATTTTGAAATGTTTAATTTGCACATGTGTTGTTTAGGCAAAACATTTCTAAGTAGAAATAACTCTGTAAACAAAAACATTACCAATTATTTTTACCTAAAACTAGTAAAAGAAATTGATAGGCGCACATACACGTTTTATATTATTATGATTGAAATTTTTTTACAAGATTCTTTAGTTCATCTTTACACTATTTTTCATCAACTAAATCGAGTTTTATTTTTTTAATTATTTCAAATTAATCTTACTATTGATAAATAGTTTTTATTTTTATTACTGAAAAAGTACCTAAGTCACAAAATAAACACTAAGAAAGTAGTTCACAAGGGCTATTTAACTTCTTTTTTGCTTTAAAGATGGACTCAAAATGAATACTTAAGCATTAATCAGATAGTCAAAATAGAGGAGTAATAACCATTGTTTGGTTTAATTTTCACAAAATGTGACTTAAGTACTTTTTTTAGCACTAGGCTCTTTTTTTTATTTGTAGTTTTAATTTTATTTAAATTTAGTTGGAGGGAAAAAAATGGTCAAGCTCCATAAAAGTATTTAAGTTATTGAAGATAACTGATGATGGTGCAATAAAAAAATATAATGGCTCAATTGGACTGAGCTGTATACTGCTGAATGAAGAAACCACAAAAAAAATGTGTAGCCTTTTTAATAACATAACAAAGTGAACATACCTGTTTATTAAACATGCTTTTTTGTCAATGTGTAATAAATATATACAGATAAACTGGATGTAAATAACAATGTACGATTGTAAGAACATTCATATTTTAATAAACAAAATGTAACCTGCTATACATAAAACAAATCATTTTAAAGTTTTCTTATGATGATCTCACAACAATTTGCTATGATTCCATCAATACTAAATAAATGTAATTTGTACATATTTTTTATACAACTTTATCTCATTTGTTTATGTTAATAACATAATAAAACAACTAAGATGCTATAAAAAAAAAAAAAAAAAAAAAAAAAAGGCATATTGAATGACTATCTTCAATTATCGAAACACTTCCTTTTCACTGAAACAGATTGTGAAAGTGTACTGTTCTCCAACGAGCTAAGGCCTATCCGGCGATGTACACTATTTTTTTTAGTCATCTATTTAAAATCTTTTAAAAACCATAGAAATGGCCGGAGAAGATGAACTTGCATGCGTTTATGCCGCTCTTATTTTGGCAGATGATCAAGTAGCAATCACAAGTGAAAAAATTTCCACTTTGTTGAAAGCTGCTGGAGTTTCTTTGGAGCCATATTGGCCAGGTCTCTTTGCAAAAGCCCTGGAGGGTTTGAATGTTCGAGACCTGATTACTAATGTAGGAAGTTCTGCTGGTGCTGCTCCTGCAGCATCTGGTGCTGCACCTGCTGCTGCTGCAGAAACAAAAGCTCCTGCTGCAGAAGAGAGGAAAAAAGAAAACTAAAAAAGAAGAGTCTGATCAGTCTGATGAAGACATGAGCTTTGGTCTGTTTGATTAATTCATGGGTCTAGATTGTTTCAATAAATATTATTCAACCTGAAAAAAAAAAAAAAAAAAAAAATTCAGGGGTCGGCAACCTGTGGCTCGCGAGCCGCAATTTAATGTCAAGATGCGGCTCTCCAGCTCTTTGAACAAATATTAATAGTTACTAGAATACCCGTCATCCGTTGGATAACTGTGGGCTTCGGGGGTCATCCATCAAAAAACATCACGTCTGTCACTCAGAGGCATAGCGACCCTTCCCGGCGCCCGGGGACAAACTTTTCGATTTGAACCCCCCCCCCCCTCAACCTTTCAATTTATTTTTCCAAACCATTTTAGCGCCCCAACATATGTCCCCCCCCCCTTCCCCCCCCCCGCCTCCCCTCCCCCCCCCGCCTCCCCTCCCCTCCCGCCCCCCCTCCTCGCTACGCTACTGCAGTGTCACTTATCGTCACAAAAACAGACCCCACATTCAAAAATATGTTTTTTATCTTTTAAAAACACCGAAAACAACGATTTCGGACTATCCCTTCATATACTGACGTCACAGGTGACCTACTCAACTCTACTTCACCTGCCCAGTGTCCCGCCAAGTCTCAGACAACAAAAACTATTCCAGCCGAGCATGTCTCTGACCACACTATCCCTTAATTTGTTTAGGACAAAGAAACAGATGAACCCTACTTCACCTGCCCTGTGCCCCGCGAGGTCCTGATAGTCAACCTTATCATTCACATATAGGGCTTAAGAAAAAATAATTGAAAACGTAAAAAAAAAAAAAAGTTCTATTAATGTTTATGACACTGACTTTAAAATTTAGCCTTCATTCTCCAAAGCAAATTTTAAAATGCTTTTCTGGCATATCTAGCCCTGGCCACCTATACAATGTTTAAATAATGTGAACACCCGCCATTTTGTTCGTGGTAAACATGGCCTAAAAATGATCGGCAGACATGCGACCGGTCCGTACGCCATATTGTTGTTAGCAGCCGACCACGCCTCCAAGCTAGTGAGTAATCCTACTTTATCTAGATATAGAACGTAGATAACAAAAAAAGCCCATGTATTCTCGAATTAGATGATCATTGAAGCTAAACAAAGATTTATATAAAATAATTAAGGCCCGAAATAGATTCTAGATGTAGAATTTACATTAATCTAGATCTAGAATTTACATTGAGTCTAGTGACCTAGATCTAGATCTAGGCCCTAGGCTAGATTCTAGATTCATAACTTTCCTTCGACAGCAGATCTTTAGATCTAGAGAAATTTATTGTAAAACTAAATAAAAAAGACAGTTGAAAATTGATATAAGTGTTGGAACGTAATAAATACAGCAAACGGACGTATTGTTAAAGTTAAAGCCGACAGAAAATTAGCTTTAGAACGCGTTAAACATTGGAATGGGAACACAATCTTCTTCGATAGGCCGCCATTATCGATGTAAAAAAATAAACACATCATGTGACGTCACTGTTTCCGTCGAGTCTAGTGGCTTTTCAAATCTTTTTTTAAAAAATGGGTTAATCTGCATATGAATAAATCAATTAATTAATTAACGTCTTTAAATAAATTTGTGATCAACAGTCTGTCTGCATTAAAAAATTATTCTCTACCTGCATACCATTTTACAGCTTTCCAGATAGAGTCGAACATATCACAATTTTCGATCAGGCAAACAAATAAATATTCAAACATGTAAACAAACTTGACTTTTAGTAGTATACTAGAATACCCGTCATCCGTTGGATAACTGTGGGTTTCGGGGGTCATCCATCAAAAAACATCACGTCTGTCACTCAGAGGCATAGCGACCCTTCCCGGCGCCCGGGGACAAAGTTTTCGATTTGAACCCCCCCCCCCTCAAACTTTTGATGTGCACCCCCCCCCCCCCCACTCAAACTTTCGATTTGAACCCCCCTCAACCTATCAATTTATTTTTCCAAACCATTTTGGCGCCCCAACATATGTCCCCCCCCCCTTCCCCCCTCCACCTCCCCACCCCCCTTCCCCCCCCCCCGCCTCCCCTCCCCACCCCCCGCCTCCCCTCCCCACCCCCCGCCTCCCCTCCCCACCCCCCCGCCTCCCCTCCCCACCCCCCCGCCTCCCCTCCCCACCCCCCGCCTCCCCTCCCCACCCCCCCGCCTCCCCTCCCCTACCGTCCCCCCCCCCCTCCTCGGTACGCTACTGCAGTGTCACTTATCGTCACAAAAAACAGACCCCACATTCAAATATATGTTTTTTATCTTTTAAAAACACCGAAAACACCGATTTCGGACTATCCCTTCATAAACTGACGTCACAGGTGACCTACTCAACTCTACTTCACCTGCCCAGTGTCCTGCCAAGTCTCAGACAACATGTTTTTATCGTTTAAAAAACAATTCCAGCCGAGCATGTATCTGACCACACTATCCTTTCATATGCTTAGGACAAAGAAACAGATGAACTCTACTTCACCTGCCCTGTATCTTGCCAAGTTCAGATAGGCAACGTTATCATTCACATCTAAAAAAAAAAAAAATTGAAAAAAAAAATTTCATTGACATATTGGTCTAGAACCCGTGCCTCCTGCATAAGAGCTGACTACGCTACCATTTTAGCTATTTACTCGTGACGTCACAAGTGAATTTTTATACTATACTATGTGTCTCCTTATGCAACTTGATTTACGCGTATAGATTCTAGATCTAGATCTAAAAATAAGTCTAGTAGTACTAACTTTCAAATTAAATTTTATCTTAAATAAGCCAAACAAAGATTTATATAAAATAATTAAGGCCTGAAATAGATTCTAGATGTAGAATTTACATTGAATCTAGTGACCTACATCTAGGCTAGATCTAGATCTAGGCTAGATTCATAAATTTCCTTCGATAGCTGATCTTTAGATCTAGAGAAATTTATCGTAAAACTAAATGAAAAAGACAGTTGAAAATTGATATAAGTGTTGGAACGTAATAAATACAGCAAACGGACGTATTGTTAAAGTTATGACCGACAGAAAATTAGATTTAGAACGCGTTAAACTTTTGAATGGGAACACAATTTTCTTCAATAGACGCCGCCATTTTATTGTACTAAAGAGTAAACAAAAACCTGTGACGTCACTATTCCCACAAAGTTTAGTCAAGGTTTTAACATTTTTAAAAAAAATGGGTTATTCTGCGTAGGAATAAATCAATAAATTAATTAACGTCTTTAAATAAATTTGTGATCAACAGTCTGTCTGCATTAAAAAATTATTCTCTACCTGCATACCATTTTACAGCTTTCCAGATGGAGTCGAACATATCACAATTTTCGATCAGGCAAACAAATAAATATTCAAACATGTAAACAAACTTGACTTTTAGTAGTATATAGATAGATATTCAGTGGCATAGCGAGGTCGGGTGTCACCCGGTGCGGCACTTAATGGTGTCACCCTCCAGAGGCGCAGCGACCCTTCCCGGGGACAAACTTTCAAGATTTCGATTTGCATCCCCCCTCAAGTTTTTCTCTATATATTTTGCTATTTTTTTGCCTTCGTGTCATCCCCCTAAATGGTGTCACCCGGTGCGGTCCGCACTCCCCCCTCGCTACGCCTCTGGTTATATTATTTCATTTTCAAAACTCAGAGCAGATATTATACTGTAAAGAAACTCAACTTTCAACGGGATAAAAACACTCACCAGAAAACAGTCAGAATAGATGCAGTAGAAGTTGACAGTCGCTTGGGCACCAAGCCCAGCCCCACAGCCGTGGTCAGTCCCGTGGCAACAATTCTATGCTTGCCATTGCCCAAGTGCCGACTTTCACGAATATCATTAAATAGGGAATGTCATTTTATTCAGAATGCATTTCCCTGTCTGTAATTATTAAATTGACGTGAGTGACGTAGTTTTTTTTAAGTAATTATCTTCCTACGGTCGAGTCGGGTATGCCTACTAGACGGTGGTGACGAATTTTTCTTGCGTTCAGTGGGGGTGGCAGGGGGGTGGGGGGTGGAAGATAAGCCTGATGAGACAGAGGCGACTGATACGGTATTCAAACCGATAACCAATGTAAACGTGGGGGGTGGGGAGGTTGTGGGTAAACTTGGTAAGGTGGGGAGGTTGGGGGTAAACTTGGTAGGGTGGGGAGGTTGGGGGTAAACTTGGTAGGGTGGGGAGGTTGTGGGTAAACGTGAGGGGTGGGGAGGTTGGGGGTAAACTTGGTAGGGTGGGGAGGTTGTGGGTAAACGTGAGGGGTGGGGAGGTTGGGGGTAAACTTGGTGAGGTAGGGAGGTTGTGGGTAAACGTGGGGGGTGGGGGTGGGGACGTTGGGGGTAAACTTGAGGGGTGGGGAGGTTGGGGTAAACTTGGTAGGGTGGGGAGTTTGGGGTAAATCTGGGGAGTGGGGAGGTTGGGGGTAAACCTGGTAAGGTGGGGAGGTTGGGGGTAAACGTGGGGGTGGGGAGGTTGTGGGTAAACGTGGGGGTGGGGAGGTTTGGGTAAACTTGGGGGGTGGGGGGTTGAGGGTAAACGTGGGGGTGGGGGTGGGGAGGTTGGGGTTAAACGTGGGGGGTGGGGAGGTTTGGGGGTAAACTTGGTAGGGTGTAAGGTTGGGGTAAACTTGGGCTGTGGGCAGGTTGGGGGTAAACGTGGGAGGTTGGGGAGGTTGGTTGTAAAAGTTGGGGGGTGGGGAGGTTGGTGTTTTATGAACGACCCCAACATTGAGGGTATACCAAGCAAATGACCGTTCAAATAAAGTTAAACTAAAAAACACATTAAAATATTTCAAATTCTTTGTGTTTGTGAGTTTCTGGCACTTTAATTTTCAAACCTTTAATGATTAGAAAACTGAAAATCTGTTGTTGTTTTTTGTGGGGATTTTAAAACCTGGCCGTCCTTTAATTAAGCCACGGGCGTGCATGTTATATAAACCAATCGCTAAATCGAACTGATGATCCAACAAATTAATTAACACAATAACAAAAAACAAATAACTTCCTTACACGGTTTCGTATGTCAACAAACATACAGCAGGAAATGAGTCTCATTCAACCACGATAAGCACGATGATGCAATTCCATTTCAATTTCCTTCTATAATTACCACCGGGGCGTTTATTTTTAGACTTTTCTATACAAGAGGTCAAAGGTCAAGAGAGGAAACTTGTTTTTTTTAAATTTATTTCAAAACATATACTTATCAATGTAGGCTAGTTTGTTTTTGTTCTTCAATTAATGTCCACTTAAAAATATGTAGGATATTTGACATGCTAATTATAAAGGTCAGCTATAAAACTAGTTGAACATTAAAATAATGTAAATTTTAAAATATGTAGGATATTTGCCATGCTAATTACGAAGGTCGGCTCTAAATATAGTTCAACGTGACAACAATAAATGTAAACAAAACTTTTTAAAACACCAATCTTCAAAGGGACACAACCACCAATTGGTTTGGATTATAGGCAAGGTGGGGAGAGGGGAAGGTAGTTTTTTCATAGCCGTCTAATAGGAAGTAGTACTAAAATACAATGAAACATGTGTATATTAACTTTTCTACGGCGATCGTTTAGTATTTGACTACGTTAGTTTTCGCTGTGTATGCTATTTATGTAGTTTCCTGTGTTGTAACTATTGTTGTCATGCAGTGAAGTGTCTCAAGAATTGTAATAGGCATACCGGCAACTACTGCTTGTTGAAGGCACAGAGATATGGAAGTTTAATACACATTATATTTAAGTTTACAGTAAAATGCTTGCTTGTCGAATGCCTATCATTATCATCATCATCATCATCATCACCAGCATCATCACCAGCATCACCAGTATCTTCATCACCATTACCATCATCATCATCATCATCATCATAACCATCACCATCACCATCACCATCACCATCACCACCATCATCATCATCATCATCATCACCAGCATAATCACCAGCATCACCAGTATCTTCATCACCATCACCATCATCATCATCATTATCATCATCATCATCATCATCATCATAACCATCACCATCATCATCACCATCATCATCATCATCATCATCATCATCATCATCATTATCAAGGGCTGTGGGGCTTACAAGGGCCTAGTTCAAGAGAACCTCCAGAAATAGTGTCCGTTGTAGAAGTGAAGCCGCAGTCTTTTGCTCCCCAGATGCTACACCTCTGCTTGTTGTTTGCTGATCTCCCTACGATGTTAATACACGGCAACTATCTGAAGCCGCACTGCTGGGGTTGGCTTCCGTGTCTGCCTCAAGGTCCTGAAGAACGTAACCCGGTACTTGGAGGAACCATCAGGGCATTGTATAAAGTGTGGGGACTATTCTGATCAAGACCACTGACACTTTATCTAGCCGTTAAGATAAAGGTTTAAAAGCCTAAAACAAAATGATAATCTATGTTTTACTGGTGTTCAGTATTTGTGGGGGGGGGGGGGGGGGGGAGAAGAAAGACGAAAATAACAGACCCCACACCTAATGGCATATACCTTTGCACTTTACATATTTCAGCAACTTCATCATCATCTTTATAAAAACCTTGTTGAACAACTTTCGATCGCAACTGGTTTTGCGTGAATCCTCATTCTGGGTCCAAGGAATGCTCTATTTTATTTTTTGGCTAATTAAAATTAAATTATAACTCAATAGCCTAAGTATCCTCATTTCGATACATTTTTTTTTAAAACAAGAGCAAAAAGGTCACTTTACGTTATGAAATCGACGTTCTCTAAAAAATGAAAATCTAAAATTAAAAATAAATTTTAAACCACAATAAGAAAAAGGTCATATTTCTGTAGGTTTGTAGAATATTTATTATCGATGTTGAAATATTTTTTTTCTAGAAATCTACAACCCACATTTGTTTTATTAACTGGACAGCAGTTCTAGAAAGTCTTTCTGTGAAGGATATTCTATTTCTAGTCCTGTCAAGAATATAAACAATAGTCATCCTGTTCTATTTTCGTCCCATGAATGACTCGAAGTTCTATAACTCACACTCCGATAATACTCTCCAAGCTCGCCTTAGTAGGGCAGAAATAATCTCGTCGCCGGATATACTTGGCATCCTTCCACGCGCTTCTAAGTATAGCTACAGCCTGCCTCGTTCGCTAACTTCCGCTTTGAAGATTGATAAAGTTAATATTTGATTCTATGTTATTGGCAATATTAATACTTTGACTTGTAGGTCTATGCTTCGGATTGAACTTTCGACTAAGATTTCGAAAGAATATGTAATTTTTTAACGGATCAAAATACTTAATATTTAATCAAATAAAATACTTAATTCTGCCCGACTACAAAGATAAAAATACAAGAGACACATTTCAGAAATGATTTCTACTCTAAGACATCATCACTATCATTATCTTTTCCTTTTCGAGCCCAAGACAAATGGGACCTCAACAGAAAGCTCCCTCCATATTTGTCGGTAACCGGCAATTTTCTTGGCAGTTAGCCATGACAGTCCTGCCTCTGTCAGCTGCTACCTGGCAGTCCCCCATGACAGTCTTGCCTCTGCCAGCTGCTTCCCCACCGTGCACCTCCCCGTCTCCCATGGGCTGGAAGACACCACCCATCAATAAAATAAACAAAGTTCTACTGTAAGACATCAAATAAAATAAAAATACACATTTCTACTGTAAAACTTTTAAATAAACAGACAACCTTCTACTGTAAGACATCAAATTACAGCAAAATAAACAGACACATTTCTACTGTAAAATCTCTCACAGACAGTACACAACACTAAAATGACACATTTGTACTGTAAACTCTCACAGACAACTTTGTACTGGGAGACATCACATAACAATACAATTTACACACACACACACACACACACACACACACACACAACTATACTGTTACACTTCTCCAACAAACAGACAACTTTGTACTGGGAGACACCGCACAGCTAAATCTAGGGCACGGTGATTTCCTGGAAAAATACGAGGCTCAATCTTTCCGTCAACTGAATGAAACTTGAATCAAGTCAACCCAGTCTACCACATCTTTCTGTTTTCTTCACACAATATTAGTCTCAAATTACTGCTAGTATTTTTATTCCAAGACTTCGGAAGTTTGTTCGATTTCTGTTTTTATTTACCTTCAAAGCATTTTATCCGGAAAGTTAAAACCCCAGCTAAAGTTGCTTCACAATGGCTTGAAGATTTCGTACTTCTGTTATATAATAGGGGTGTTAGGAGACAAACCGAAACCTTTTGCTTGTCTGGTTTTTGAGAGTAAATTTGTTGAAAAAATACATACACAGAGACACACATACAAATATACAAACACATAAATGCATTTAAAAATTATGTAAATTAAAAAAAAAAAACTTGAAACATAAAGTTCTAGAAGTTTCGACTTCGTTAAGAAAAAAAAAGGAAACAAGGTTTCCGTAACTTTCATTTCTTAAATTAGTTATAATACTTTTACGGTGCCATTATATTTTTTACATAAAAAATTGAAAGAAAAAAAACTAATTAAAAATAATTGCCAGTTAAATTAAACGTAATAAGCAGAAAATTTGCTAAGTTTGCAAAGCTACACCTCCGAGTTGCAATATTTTCTGTGAAAAGCTTTAAGGTGTTATTGATTTTAAATTCTTTAAGGTCACAGGAAGGATAATAAAAATGCGGTTAGTCGGGCGAAGATTATAATTAAGTACCCCAGGCTGATTAATCAGTTTTGGAGTTTAATAAAACATGACTTGGTACCATCGACAGCCATATAACTGATTTTTCATGGCATCAGTCTCATTACTTATGTTATCTTTCGTCAGTGAGGGAAACTAGAAAAGTCTCTGTACCCTGAGGACACATATGTCTTGGGAACGAACTGGAAAAGATGATAATTAATAAATGAAGGCTGATATATGTGAATGAGGGGGGGGGGGGGTCTGCACTTATATGATGATGGTGCGGGAGGGTGGGTAAAAAACGTTCCGCATCATTGATGTTGTATTCTGAAACAATAAAACTGACGAAGAAACATTATCATGTTTAAAAATCTGTTTACATTTACAAAATGGGAGCGGGATTGTTAAGTCTTCAATTGTTTTTTTTTTGCCATCAGGAGGTAAGGGGGGGGGGGGATCCTGCCTTTTGCATTATTGTGGCGACATGCGACAATGGAAGGAGAGGGTCTGCATGACGTCATTGATGGCCGAACACTTAGAGCATCAACACTACGTCCGTGACTCGAGCTTGGGCGAAAGAAAGAACTCCAACAATTAATGTCTCGTCTATCAGCGAACACACTTCAAAGTCGCAGGACAAGCCAATACAAAAAATACTCATAACACACCCGTCAAATATTACACGGGGCTAATTCTTTAAACTAAGGCAGGGAATTATTTTAACAAGCAAATATTACCCTAGTAACACTGCCGGCTATTTGACTGTATACCATGTCAATGTTTGAACGACTATGTAAACGTCCCTACCCGCTACCTCGGGTTGGCCGCTACCTCGGGTTGGAAACTTGTGAAGATTCTAGTGAATCTTCTGTGTCGGTGTGAAGAATGAAATTCATCGGGGAATTTCAACCAAAATTGTGTAAAACTCAATTAATATATTTAGGCGTGAATCGTTGAATAAATTTGATTTAGCTTAATTTTTTTTAAAATATTGAATAAGCATTTAATTTATTTGAAATAAAACCCAAAGACGTGTAGAAATACCACAAGAAACAATAAAACATGTCTTGAGTTTTGATTTTTGTTTGAGAAAACTATTTTTAAAATACCGAAAAAAAAATATTGTCTTTGGATTGTCATTGAATACACAACATATCTGGGGGAAAATTTATCTTATGTTGGTTTTGTTTTAAGGTTGTTTTTTTTTCACACAATCACAAAATACAAGTTAATTATTATTTATCATTTAGGAGAATATTTTTTTTTGATATTTGCAAAAAATGTAACCGGAGAAATGATTATAATAAGGAGAGGTAACACTTGGCTTATACGTTTATCTTGCTACCAGGGTGATAGATTGTTTGTAAAGGAAGTGCCTCTAAAGAACAAACACAAGGAAA